GAGAAAGCTGGCTTTCTTCAGAATGCTGACTGACAGAAGGCAGCAACATGTGGTGATGGGGGCATCAACTGGCTTCATACCATCAGAGAAAACTCTGATCCTTTTTCTACACTCTATGATTTCAATTTATAAAGAATTTATTAAAAATATTTCAACATAGTTATGATTTTGATACGCTAAACCCATGGCACACAGAGATACTACAACATAATCCATGCCAAATAAAATCACATGATTCATTTGCTCTCAAATTATTCCTGAGTTTGCGCCAACTTTTTTTTAAAAAAATTTTGTGAGTGAGAATTTTTTTGTACAATCAGCACATGAATCGAAATTGGAGTCAATGTGCTACGTACACAATTGCTGTAAATGTATGTGTGGGAGGGATTGTCTTATAAAGACCAACAATCATCGAATTAGGTCATGGCATGGATTAGCTGAGCGGTCATATGTAACTGTACTTTCTAAAATTAATGTTTATATTTTTAAGTAATTTTTATCTGATACTGCATCAATCATAGCCCAGACAGTTTGTTAGTATAATTTACAGCTAACTGATAAATACTTCTTTTTATAACGAGCACCACTTCTTCCCACTGGAACAAACATGACAGTTCATGTAAACTTTTGTGACTTTCACCAAGTTTCTTTTTTTTTTCTTCTATTTCTGATAAACATGAACTCAAAAAAGGTGCCAGTTCAGTCTGGCAAAGAGGAAGAGGCATAAATTGCCGTTTATCTCACATCTCAGACCGAGCAACACTGCTGTGCTCTGGCAGTCTCCACTCACAAATCTTCAGACAGATCTAATCTTCTCACCCCATGCTGCTCAATCTTCCTACATACAGTTAACCCAGCAGAGACAGATTAATGAGAAATTAATCCCTTTAATTCATTGTAAAGGTCTCCCATTCTTTTAACCAGTTAAGATGCCTCTGCTCTTTGCCAGATAATAACAGCAATACATTTAATTTACAAAGACATTTATGTAAGAAAAGATCTTCATCTGAAAATTTTTTCAAGATAAAAAGAAACATAAGACAGAATTGTGATGGATTTTTAATGATTAGTGTTTGAAATGCTACAAAATCTAGATCAGAGAGAAATGGGACTTAATCTGATCTTGCTAAGTTTCCTGCAGTAGTGTGCAGTTTGTTGCCATTTCCTGCTTTGCTGTGTCTTTAATTCATTATCAGATACTGGTTCGCAGCTGGCTGATGCACAGAATGAACAATGACGGAAAACTCTGAAATGTTTCCAGCAAGCCTGCATGACTCAGTCTACTGAGACAAAGGCAGTTAGAGATATAGAAAGAAAAAAAAGTATTTTATTTAAAAATAAACAGTTAAAAACAACTTTACAGAACGATGTAACCACAAGCCAATAGTGATGTGTCTTTTTACTACTTGTCAACTCATTAAATTTAACCAGGTTTTACAGCTTTCCATGAGTGCATTACATGAAAGACTAGGTGCTAGTACAAGATGACAAGTCAAATACATAATCTTACATGAGCAAACTTTAATCTCGAACAAATATGAGGTTATCAGAAATAAGATCTATAAATTAAATTGCAAAATGAGCATGAAGCAAAATTAAATAAATGAAAATGCTGACACTTTGATTGTGTACATGCATTAGCTTATCAATATCACTGCTCCAACATCAGGGCCTGGAAAGATGTCACAACTTGTGTATTGCACTAAATAGATGTGTTGTAGAAGTCTTGTCTGTTTTATATAGAGTGTTATGAAAATACCAGTTTTATGAGAGGTGAAAATGTAAAGCATAAGAACATACTCTTAAGGGTGTTAGGTAATTTTTATTGCAAATTATGCTTATTTCCAGAAATTATTTTTTTTAATCATACATTATTCAGATTAAACAAAATTTAATATTAGATGAAAACAACTAAAGTGGCTACAAAATAAGAAAAAAAACTATTTTCAAATGATTTCATTTATCAAGTGAAAAATAAAAGTAAAACCAACCAGACCATGAATTAATCCCTATTCTATCTTGGAATATCTGCAAGACAGATGAATTATAGAAAGAAACTCTGCTGTCCTCATCAAAAATAATATGTGAACATCACTCTGTTCATGGGCAATTAAGTGTTTCACACATTTTATTATTTTTGTCTAGTTATTCACCAACCTTATGGGTTCCTCTTTTATTATGTTTTATAAATGGAAATGTAATAATTAAAAAGAAAAGACAATGTGATTTTGAGTTGTTAAAATATAAAAATAAAATTCAACATTTCCTAAAAATTGTAAATAAAAAAGAAATATAGTCCTTTGTGTCATAGAAAGTTGATGCAAGAGAAAACTCAATAGATAAGATCAACTTCAAATTAACTTAGTCAAGAACTTGGATCCTCTTTCTTACTGATTTTTTTCTCATGTTAAATTTTTTAGATCATCAAACAGTTTTAATTACCAACAAAAATGACCTGAGTAAAAGAGAATAGTTGGTTTTTCTACAATTTAAGAGGTTTTACCCAAAATCAACAGGGCCCTATGTAAACAGTTACCTGGCCCCCTTGTTGAATCATAAATTATTAAAGTTCATCAAAAGTCAAATTAGGTATAAGTAACTCATTTGCTGTTTTAAAAACAAACATTTTAATCAATATTTTTCATCCTCGACTCAAATTAAGCCAAACATTGTTGGAATCTGTAATTGTTTTGCTGTTCCATTCTACGATAACATAATTTTGTGCTGATTTTCACTTAAAAAGTTGAAAAAAAAAAGAATAAAAAAATGTTTGCTCATCAGTTACTCAGGACAACAAATATATAGAAAAACATCCTTAAAAATACTAACAATAAATGGGCATTTTGTTCTTGCAAAAAAAATAAACCAAGAGTCTGTCAAGTCACTATATGGATGCCAAAAATCTGTCTAGCTTACAAACGTCATCATTGCTTCCCCACTTCTCTCAAGATTTCCATTCCGACTTCCTCTCCGAGTTAGATACCTGTGGCTTCCTTCCATTGTGTTGTCAGTGTCAAACCATTTTCATGCAGGAAGGCCCAGACCAAAACCTATTTTCCTGCCAACAACAACAGAACCAGCCAATGCTGCTATGGCAGCACACTTGGTGGTCTGCTTCATATAAGCAGCTCACTGCTTCTAGTAGATTAGTAAAATGTTTTTTCCAGGCTGCATCTAAGCATTCAAAGGCTTCAATCACAATTTTTTAATGTATTTCATTAGGGTTTTATCATCAACTGGCAAAAAGGGTTGCATTATTGTGAGGTGGAAGGAAAAGCATTCAAGATGTTCAAAGTATTTTACAATTAAAATGTTTTAGAAATTGGGATAAGCAACTGTATTCAGTGTTCTCTACTTTGACACCACTGAATTAAATACAGAAAAAACAGCTGCCTTTAAAAGTCACATCATTATTAAATAATATCTGTATAATTTAATCTATGTATAAGACAAGGTGTTCTGTGTGGACCTCACAAAGAACTATTCATCCATCAAATGAACATTGAAAATGATCGGAGATATAGTCACGAGGAGCTAGAGAGGTTCGCACCTCGGTTGGAGCATATGTAGACGGGAGAACTATTTCTTGAGAACTCCAAAATTTATCGGACCAAGAGTTGCAACTGCAACAAAAGATGGGTTAAGGGATCTTAAATCAGGGAAATTTAATACAAATGCACACCACACTTCTCAATATTAATTTTTTTTTTATCTTGATGTCATTTAATTTGACCTGGTTTGTCACATAAAATACCAACTCAGTACTTTAGACTTTTGGGGTTGCATTGTGACAAAATGTGAAAATATATAGAGGTAAAAATGCTTTTCGCGAGGCACTGTACATTCTGAATTTTATTGCTTCAGACAAAAACCAGGGCAAATATGAGAAGTGGCTTATGCGGTTTTGTGTGAACATGTGTATGAGGTTTTGAAAGAATCCTCCATTAATCGCAGTAAACAGCTGAGGTTTGCCATAATCCTCAACATCAACACCACTGGCTTCACCTACAGTAGCTTGCTTTAAAAAAAAGTCTGCAGTCAAATTGGCACTGATTAAGATTAAGTCTACTTCCTGGAATTGAGAGCTGTAAAATATAGCTTCAGAGAGCAGAAAAAAAGGAAAGAGAGAGAAGGAAGGGAGGGAGATCACAGTCCAGTGCACAGCTTCAAAGGAAACCTTCAGAACAGTGATGGAGCACATGTGAGACCAAAGCTCCTGCCAGGCAAGCCAAGCACAAGACAGTGAGTACACTTAATTTACAACTAAAACCTTTCTTTAATTCTGGATGTGGTTCAAAGTGTTAAATAATACATTTATTCAATTAAAGATGTTTTAATAAATATGTTTTCTAAACACCAACACTTCGATTCTCAGCCCAGTTGCAGAACCTAGAGTTCTCAAACTGTGATAGAAGTACCGCTTGACATATTTGTGATGCTTCAAGTGGAACCCAGAATAGGTTCTGGTTGGAATAGTTTGCAAGAAAAGCTAAAATTCAATGTGCTGTGGAATAGGACAATAAAGCAAGAGCAAGATGAGCTGTTCAAGCACATGAACAATTGCTACATCAAAAACCTCTTAAAAGAGAGGTGCAGGAAAGGAAAAGCTCAGTATAAACTGAAGTTTACACTGCTTTTCATTTACCCCTAAAGAGTGACACCAAATTATATACTGAGAGTGGATATGAATGCGCAAACTGTTTATCTCATAGGATGGAGTTAAACATTTTGGAGGTCACAAGAAGGAATGTATTCCTGTAAAACTATAAATTACTGGAGTCATATTTTATTACATATATATTTTTAAATCTGAGGGAGAATTTGACTGTTTCTTAAAGTAGAATCACAAGTGAGTTCAGCACAAAAGTTGACAACCACACTGCATCCAATTACTTCAAATGCAGATCCCAAGCTGTACCCACGCACATATCTGGACAGAATCGACATTAACAATCAGAATTAAACTGATTTTGTTTTTCTCTCCCCGGTTCTGCACTCACCCGGATCCGTCTCATGGCAGCAACAATCTCCACTCTGCTGCTCGGCCGCGTCACATCCAGACTGCCGATATACTGCCGCCAAAGAAGGTGCAACATGACAGGTACAAAAGGTGTGTTAATGACACTACAATTGGAGTTTACTTTGTTTGTATTAACCACAACACGTCAAGAATCTACTTTAATTATTACTTCAATGGGCACAAGTTTTGTTTACTTGTTAAGATCATAAATGACTTTCCCACAAAACAAAACCATTCAGGATTTGTTTCCAAAGTCGCAAAATGAGATTTCTGTTGTCGGTTGTTCATGGTTTAAAGCTTATTTAGAAACAAACGCACACTTAAACTCAACAACACTGCAAACACTGTTCTATTTTCACTTTGAAGGGGAAATTCACCTTTGCTTCGAAGTTGATCCCATGCTGGAATGCTTCCTCGTTGTGCAACGGGATCCTCAAATCGTGTCCGTCATCAACGAGGTTATACTTCGTTTTCCCAGGCATTTTTCCAACTGTTTATATATCCACCCTTTAGGAGAACGCGACCAGGATAAAAAAAAAAAAAACAGGTGGATTGGGAAGTGATAAATCCAAGAAAAACAATCCGAATATCCGGTCAGTAGGTGTTCGTCATAGCAGCGAGGCGTCCCGAGCGCAGCGACGCTCCGACGCCGAAACAGCAGCCCGAGCGGCGGGGAGAACTTCAGCAGCGCTCCGGTGAACTGCAGGAAACGCTCTGAGGACACATGCAGGCCAAGACAGACGGCGTCATGCGGGGGAAGATGTGTTTTCCCGACTTTTCCTGTTCGCAACGTAGAAGTTGGTCGAGTCCTGCCTCCGGTTGTGGACTCCTGCGCTCTCCTCCCTGCTCCACAGAATAGGGCGGGTTTGATTGGAGAGTTCGGGAATCCCACCTGTTTCCATTGGAACAGGAGCGAACCGGGGCTCTGCTGGAGGAGTGGCTCAAACTCCCGTACCTGCCCCTTCTCCATTCCACCATCTCTTCCTCTTACATTCTCACACGTACACAAACATATAGGTTGGGGGAACAAAATAAAAATAAAACCTGAATGAAAGACTAAGAAGTGGCGTCCTACAATTTATCTATTGTTTTATAAAATCAGAAGTTACAGAAACTACACTCCGTTGTTTCCAAACTGCACCATTATTCATGAACAATCTATTTAACTATCTAGATTTTTTATCAAAACATTCTTGTTTACTAATTTGTAAAGAAATATTATTATTGTTATGACTATTTTAAATTGAAGAGAAGAGGTTGACAATTATAAATAAAGGTTACTCTGATATATTTAGTTGGGAATAAATAATGATGGTAGAATCAAACCAAGAACTCTGCACATCTGGGAAATGTATAAAAAGACAAGGCTCCCAACTAGTGGCTAAATGTGATATTACATCATTAGTGCATCCTGCTCTGATATTTCATTGTCAACATTTGAGGGTATAAATACCTCTTTTTTTCTGCTGCTTGTACCTTATTTAAAGAACCCACTGCAAAAACAAAATAAAGCTTTGTATATCAATGGAATTCATGCAAATTAGTGGCGCAAAAAGTGTAGCCTTTGAAGTCCTAAAACTGTAAAAATCCCCTTAATTCTTTATCTCTTTTTGCATAATTAGTGGAATGGCTACTGGGATAATAAAGTATCTTCTAAGTTCAAATATATCTTCTGAGGTTTCACTTTTCTCATTTTGGATTATAATGGCTTTATTTAAAATTAATCCGGTTAGTTTAGAATTAATAAGAAAACTTTAAGCAACTTTAAGTTGAAGCTTCTATTCATTACTAAATATAAAGAAAATAAACCCCCACTTTGCCTCACTCATATTGGTTTATATTTTTGATTAATAGGCTAACTTGGCAGGGGAGGGGGGGAGCGTCATTGGTATTAGAAAGTATTTGTGTCAGTGTACAAAGTGCCTTGCTAAAGTATTTGTACCATTCATTCATTTTTTAAAACATTTGTTCACTTTTCAAGCAGAAAGTTCAGTACATTTTGCAGGAATTTTGTGTGATAGAGCAATAGGGCAACACAGTGTAGTGCATGAATACATGGTCTGGAATTTTACCTTTTATTACCAGTGAAATCTGAAAAATATGGCATGCTTTTGTATTTCGTTTGACTCAAGGTTTTGTAGAACCATCCTTTGCATTGACATTAATATTCTCTGATATAAGAAAAATAAAAATAAAAGTATTTGGGGAGGTAGAAAATATATTATTAAGCTTCTAACAGAAACAACTCAAAGTTCAGAAGCTGGATAGCACTCTACAACTCTGATCACAATTTATTTAACACAGGCTTCAAGCAAAAGGAGCAATGGATAGATGGCAAAAGACTTGAAGACATTCTTCAACAGATGTAGTTCAGGAACAACATCATCATCACCCTTAGTCAAACAGATATCCTACCCTTGTTTTCCTCACAGCTTTCTTGACAAAGAGTAGATGTTTTATCTTCCTCCACAGTCTTTACAAGTTCCTCTTAAACCAAGTCATCTCCTTTTGCCCCCCCCCAAACTCCGCAGATACATTGACAGCATGGAGTTGGATGCTTCAACAAACCCACTGTCATCAGGACAAAGCAGGCAGCACAATCATGTTAATTGATTTCTCCAGTGCATTTAATACAATTCAGCCTGAATTGCTCTGTCAGAAGCTACAGAATACGTAGGTGGAGGTTTTAACATTTGTCTAAATCTATGACGACCTGATAAATGGTGATCAGTGACACCGAAGCACCACAGGGAACTGTACTCCCACCATTCCTTTTCATTATGTACACTTCAGACTTCCAGCACAAGTCAGAAACCTGTCATCTGCAGAAATACTCAAATGACTCTGCAGTCGTCAGGTGGATCAGAGATTGACAAGAAACTGGGTACTGAGCTGGTGGCTTTGTGACATGGAAACAATGATTTCATCTTGAAAATGAACAAAAGAAAGAAGATTATGTACTTTGGACTAGTATATCAAATTAAATCACCTCAAAATATTTTGAAGCTTACGACTATAACATGAATATTTTTGAAAGGCACAGTAAAATGTATCTTTCTATCAAGCAGGGGTCACAGATATGCCTAACTATTGTGAATAAAAGCCTCATCACTGGAGGCACAGCTTTTTGTGCCTCCAGTAGATGCAGTATGACTCACTTTAATGCTGTTGTTATGTTTTATTATGCATCAGTCACATGTCCTGTCCCCTGAGTAGAGATGCTTCGCTCCCTGTAAGGTAGTCCCAAGTGAATAGACAAGAGGAAGTGGGGTGGAACAAATTGACTTTCTCACAGTCTCTTTTAAAAGATACAAAGCACTGCTCCTAACGATATCTTCAGGAGTGAAGTTGTGCATGATTTTGCCCAGAAGCAGTTGGCTTAAGAGGTTCATCTAGTTACCAAATTTAAGTCAGAATCCCCTGCCTTTATTTATTTATTTATTTATTTATTTATTTATTTATTTATTTATTTATTTATTTATTTATTTATTTATTGCCATTCTTGGTAACAAAATTAAGTCAAATTAAAAAGACCAACTTGATTCTTTCAATTGTTTCATTACTCAACAAGAAAGCTTGTGTAGACGTTGTACTTTTAAACAGAGTAAACAGAAATATTGTGAGATAACATCTGAGGTTTAAATGATTTACATAAAGTTTTTAAGTTCATGTTGCCTTTTTGGCAATTACAGAGCATAAACAGCTGTAAAGGGCTTTGCAAATAATCCATACTATGGAATTTATCTCAGTTTTATCACTCTGCAACCATAGCGACCAGTGATTTTTTTATTTAATTTATTGTGATGGACCAACATAATACAGTGCATAGTTATAAAGTGAAAGGACAATAATCCATTTTTTAATTTTCAAATAAAAATCTGAAATAAGTTGTGTTCATTTTAATCTTTAATTTATACTCCTAAATGCAATTCTAAAGCATTTAACTGCCTCTTAAAGAATTCAGTAAATAATCCCCATTGGTGTGTAATATAATCTCAGAGTAAAACCAGTGGGTCTGTGAAAGCCTTAGAGTTTGGTAAAAGACCAAGGAGAACAACAAGAATGTTAAGGTGTTTTAAAGCAGTACTAAAATATAAAACATTTCAAACTTTTAGATATCTTAAGCAGCACTTTCAATCCAATACATTTTAAGTTACAAGAGCTGCTGCTCCATACCTATCCCTATGATGACATACTGTGTAAGGAATGCATAATAGTCAAAAAGGCATCACAGTAAGTCTGGAGGAGTAGCAGGGATCTACAACGAAGCAAGAGTAATTTGTTGATCGGGACAAGTAGTAGCCATATATACATAGTATATATACATACCTCCTGTATATGTATACATGTATAAAGTACATAGTAGCCATACATTGTCATACATAAAAAATCAGAATTTTTATTTCAAGTAAGTAATTGCGGAAAATAGAAAAAAAAAAGAAGTACTGTTTGCTCTTTACCACAAACCATGTAGGAGACATTCAACTTTTGACCCAGAGGAGCAGAATATCATAGACATGATTTTGGTTCAAAATCATGTCTATGATTATTTTATAGACCATGTATCATTTTCTTTCGATGTCACAATTACACATTATTTTTTATGTTAGTCAATCAGACTAAATCCTAGTAAAATTCAATTTGTAGCAAAACATGAGAATATAAGAAATTCAAGGGGTATCCATGCTTTTGAAAGTTACTTTACATGCAAATATGAGAAAGATATTTCAAGAAAAAAAAATCATTACATCACACTAAGTCCTTAAGCCCTGGGATCCTAACCTTTCTCTCCTTATAACAATAACAAAGGTTCGAGGCAGACAGGAACAGCTGCTGTCTCTGCATGAGCAGTTATTACAGAATAAAACCAGTAACCCTCCACAGTAACCCAATGTCTTCCTAAGACTTTCTTGAAAGAACACAGTGTAAATTATTCCTGTTCTGTTTATTGAACACATGGCCGTCTGTTGGATGTTGGCTTTTAAAAACTATTCTCGTTGTGAGCCAGCTTGTGGAGATCAGTGTGGTCTCAGCAGGGTTCCAGTAAAAATGCTGCTGGGGAAACAAACTTCACAGGGCTACAATCTGAGGAAAACAATTAGTTTATGATTCAAATCCTCAAAAGCTTTTGAAAAGACCAGACTGTATCTACATTTGTAATTCTTCACAGTATTAGATTGGATCAGAGAGCTAACCGGTCCAGAAAGAGAACCAAAACATTCCTTTTCCCACTGACCTCGGGCCAGAAGTCTGTCCTGAGTTCGCCTTTAAAAATCTTCAAAGGGAAGCATCCTGTCCTGATTTGATGCTTGAACCACTTTGGTTCAAATCGATGCTAAGTTCAAATCAATGCTGAGTTTCTGCCAATGTTTGACACTCCCAAGCACAAAATGTATTCCCACCCACCCACTGCCCCAAAATAGCCTATGTGAGAAGTGGAAAAAAAACCCTCATTTTTTATTTCATGAAAATGTACAAATAACATAAAGTGAG